AGGGAACCGATTAGTGGAGTGAGAAAGCAAATGTTAAATTTTCAAGTTTTCTAGTACAGCTATATGTACGTATGCTTTCTAATAAGACAATGACAATTTAGTAAATTATTATTATTATTAAAAAAACAATTCAATAAATTATGACATCTCATTATCTAATAAAGTAAATAATATAAGTTTGCTTAAATTAGCATTTATTAATATATAAGTTTTAATTTAAAATTAAGATAAAAAATTCAAACTTTTGAAATGTACTTAACAAATATCTAATTAAATCCACCTCATTAATATCTAACTTTAATGGAGAAAGAAATAGAACATTAACATTTTTGTTGCTAATATTTTTTTCTTATTTAACCTTGAAGAGACCATTAAAATGACATGTGTTTCACATGAGCTTGTAAATACTAACTCTCCATTTAGTATGGTTGTGTTTTTTTGATTTTTTGTTTTAGTTTTCTAAAATTTAAAAATCATAGAATAAATTAACAACTTTTATAAATTAATTAAATTTTTAGTATTAGGTATTTGGTGGGTACAAGTTTTATAAATTAATTTTGGTTTTGAACTACTCATTTTGGTTGTTTAAATCTTTTCAAATAGAATCATAAATCAAACACTACAACCATACTAACATGGCTTTCTACAACCATGTTCATTTGAAAGAGCAACTTTGGATTCCTTTGGGTGAGTTCAGTTAATGGAATAGACAAGAACCTAATAAAATAAAAATCGTGAAATAGGTCCTAGAGGATTAAAAAGAAACAAGAAAAAAGAAAAGGGGAAAAACCTTCTTAATTATAAAACATTCTATGATCCATTGATAGATAGTAAATTAATATACAAGCCTTTTAATGATTGTATAAAACATTCAACACTCAATATTGAGTCCTTTATATGGATGGACGCATTAGGAAGAGTAAAAGAACTACTTTGATGTAGAATACATTCCAATTATTCTCATTCAAAGATAACTTCTAGTTCTCTATTAATTGTTTTCCTTGGGATTTTGACACTTGTTGTCTGCACACCATCTCCATGGCCAAAGGGATTTGGTGGCACTGTCAAACTATCGACTTCTGCTTCCAACATTTGAACCACGGCTTTCATTGATGGTCGGTCTGTTGGGTACCACTGAATGCACCAAAGCCCAACAATTGTAAGTTTTCGTGCTATCTTGGCATGCCCCTCAGAATCTATTCGAATCCCAAACTCTTCTCCTTTGTCCAAGCAGTTATACACCCATTCTGGGAAGTAAACTTGGCTCGTACTCTCTACTGTGACATCAATATTCTTCCTCCCTCCTACCATTTCCAACAATAGCATTCCAAAACTATAAACATCTGATTTATAGGATGCTTTTCCAAAGTTCCGAGACAATACCTCAGGTGCAATATACCCTATTGTTCCTCTGGCTGCTGTCATAGAAACAGCACTTTGTTCCTTGGAACACAGCTTTGCTAGCCCAAAGTCGGAGATCTTGGGATTGAAGTTATGGTCTAGCAAGATATTGTGAGGCTTGATGTCAAAATGAAGGATTTGTTGGTCACAACCTTGGTGCAAGTACTCAATTCCTTTGGCTATTCCCATGGCAATATCTTGAAGCTTCTCCCAACTGAGGAAACGATCTTTATCTTTAGCTACAAATATGAACTTCTCTATAGACATTCGTCACTGACAGACTCTTTATGATTATACTATATTGTTTCTCAATCAGGAAGCATGCTTGAATAATTTGATAAATGCTTTAAATAAATTGAAAATATTATTGATTTTCAAAAACTTTTCTAATGATCTAGAATATAGTTGGTCACAAAAATGTAATAATATCCCATGATAGATTTTTTTTTTTTTGCACTGATGCTGTTCCTTTTCAACTTCAAATGTCAGAAAGCACACTTATAGATACTGATCTGTGTCTGTCTTTTTTCTCGAGAAGGAGCAATTATTTTCAGTAGAGCTCTGTTGGGGATATCCATCTTGCTTGTGATAGTTGCATACAAACTTCAGAGGAGGCATTTGTCTGTGGATGATATGATTGAAGAGTTCATTCAGAAACAGAATAACTTCATGCCTATCAGGTACACTTACTCAAAAATAAAGAAAATCATTGGAGGTTTTAAGGATAAACTGGGTCAAGGAGGCTATGGTTCGGTCTTTAAAGGAAAGCTTCGAAGTGGACATTTTGTAGCTATTAAATTACTGGGCAGGGCAAAATCAGATGGCCAAGATTTCATCAATGAAGTTGCCACCATGGGTAGGATTCATCATGCTAATGTCATGCAACTCATTGGATTTTGTGTTGAAGGATCAAAACAAGCTCTAGTATATGATTTCATGCCTAATGGGCCCTTGGATAAAGTCATATTTTCAAGAAACAGTGATACATCTTTAGGTTGGGAAAAAATGTTTGAGATTGCTATTGGGGCGGCTAAAGGGATTGAATACTTACATCAAGGATGTGAAATGCAGATTTAACATTTTGATATCAAGCCACACAATATCCTTCTGGATGAGAATTTTAGTCCTAAAGTTTCTGATTTTGGCCCTGCAAAACTATATCCCGCAAATGATAGTGTTGTATCTCTCACTGCAGTAAGAGGTACATTAGGATACATGGCTCCTGAATTATTCTACAAGAAAATTGGAGGCATCTCATATAAGGCTGATGTTTATAGCTTTGGAATGTTGTTGATGGAAATGGTGGCAGGAAGAAGGAACACAAATTCATTTTCTGATCCATGAGCGATTTGATCAGGGAGAGGACATAGAGTTGGGAGATGTTACAGATATTGAAAAGAATCTTGTCAGGAAGATTGTCATAGTTGCATTGTGGTGCATACAAATGAAACCTGCTATTCGTCCTTCAATGAGCAAAGTCTTGGAGATGCTTGAAAGTGAAGTTCAGCTACTTGAAATGCCTCCCAAGCCTTCTTTTGTTCCATCTGAATTGCAGACTGCAAATCGTGTCAATATAAATGTCAATATAAGTCAAGCAGCCCAGCCAACTATGTCACTGGATGCTAGAACATAAGGTGCACTCCAAATGCCTTACCTTGACTTGCTTACACATAACAGCGTCTCATATGTTTACATATCCTGCATTGTTAATTAAGTAAATGACCTTTTTACAACTCGAATATATCAATCTTCAAATGTTGTAATTTGATATATCTGATGACATATGGTTTCTTAATGAAATAAGATTACTCTGTTGATAGAATATTTGAGCTTTATTTAATATTCATTTATTTAGCAAATAATCTTATGGTTCTTTCTGTCTTCTATTTACTGATGCTTCGTCTGCTGCTGGGGGCCAGAGCAAGCATTGTGTCCCTTCTTCCTGTGGAAGCCTCAATATCGGTTTCTATTTTGGTTAACAAGAGATAGATTAATATTCAAAGACTAATAAATTCAACTCTCTCCCATGTGATCCAAAACATTTCAAAAAAGAAAAATTACAAAAGAAAAGCTTCACTGAATTCGAATGAACTAACCATAAAACATTGATTTTGTCAAACATTTTAACAGTTAGGGGAGATTTGAAAACATCACTAATTAAGGGCAGCAACCTGGACCAATGGTATAATGACATGTTGGCATGATTGTGTTAGTTTTCCTTACAATTGAACAGAAGGTTGCAAACTGCCATTGCCAGTTACCTTCCATCTGGAAGCAAACTGATTTTTTCTGTATAATCTGAAGATGAAGATTCAGTTTGATTTGTTTGGTCTCCCACAGTCCTTTCTTGTGCCTCTCAGGAAACAAAACAGGTTTGGGAGGCATTGGCAGGCTTTCGAGTTTTTCTTGAACAATCTCTACAACTTTGCTTATCGGAGGACGATCACTAGGCTTATCTGTATACACCATAATGCAACTAAAATCATCTTCTTTATTATTCTATTTTTTCTTCCTCTGTTGCATCTACTGTCGCTTTATTCGTAATATTTATTCCCAAAAAAATGGTTTTTCCTAAAATAGACTTTGGTTACGTATCATTTAATGTGAAAATATTGATTATCATAACAATGAATTTTATTACAATATTATTTTAGAATGAAAAAATATAATGCAATTTGAATTATATTTAACTATATTATATTAATTATTAGATGAAGGTAGGTCTCTTGATATTGAGGATTGTTCTTTCATTTAATAATTTTTATTTTACAGTTTAATATAATTTAAATTATAAAATAATATTCTCATTTTAGAAACAATTAAATTTTTTTAACTTATAACACACAAGTTATTGAATATTAAATAGACTATCAAAACCTTATTGAAGTAATATCTATTGTAGATTTAGTGGCTGTTTTGATTGTGGGTTATCTACTTTTTATAACGACTGAAATGCTCTCATTTACTTCTTCTATGCAGACTATTTTTTTTTTTCTTATCCCTCCTTCTCCGTCTGCCTTCTTCTCTCTCTCGCTGCCCCAATGCTTCCCGATTGAAATCATTCTCTTATAGTAAGAGATCAAAATCAATTTACATTGCAACTTAAAGTACAAAAATTGAAGAGCATGGTGTGTTAATAGAAAAGTCCCATCAAGAGGAGAACAAGGCATTAAAGGATATGGTGGGGTGTAAGTGTGAGAAGAGAGCTAGCAAAGGGAATAACGAAAGATTGGAGAATTCAAAATGCAAAGTCACTTTTCAAAAATCAGTCAAGTTGCTAATTGAATTCAAGATTCAAATTAAACTCACCATAATTGAGGATTTAAGAAAAGTAGAGCTAGGGATGGGCAAGGTTCTGATTAACCGACCGAAAACTGAATAATGAACTGACGTCGGTCGGTGTGTTTACCGAAAATTTGTGTTCGGGCCGAAGAGGAGTGGTTTCGGTTTAAACCTGAGTTCTAGTTGGGCGGGATTCAGTTGTGAGGCCCAAAAAATGAAGCCCGATTAAAGCCTCCTACGAAACTGAAAAAATTGAGGCCCAAAATGCTGTTTTCAAGCCCAATTATTTTAGGATTTTTTAAGCTTGGGCAGGATACTACCCGGATTCCTTCTCAAAGTCCTAATTAATTGGGTTTTGTTTAGCTTGGGCGGGATACTTTCACAATTTCCCTCTTAATTAATTGGAAATATTTTTCAGTTTCCCTCTTAATTAATTGGAAATATTTTTCAGTTTCCCACAGAATATATTTTTAATATTTTTTTACTAAAGTAATTTGGATTTTTTAAAGTCTCCTATACTTAAGAAAAATACGTATTGTTTTGCTTAATTTTTTTTTTCAATCCAAACTAAAACCAATATGAAAAGACTTAAATGATCCAGTCACCGAACCAATAAAACTGACTTTTTTTTTTTTATAGTTTGGTGATTGCTTCACTCTTTTTTCTAACAGAATTATCTATTAATTGTTCATGTTAATCAGTTCAATAACTAAACCGATCGTTGCCCTACACTAATTACAGCACTTGCTTGGCATATCCAATGGCATAGCGGCAAATGCTTTTGTAGAGTCAAATTAGAGGTTCTCAGGTTCTCTTCCATTTTTAAAATAGTTAGAAAATCCCTCTTCTTTGCAACAATTAATATAGTTGCTAAATGCATCTTTTTGCAACAATATTGCCAAGAGCATATATAGTTAGATTAGATATTTATAGCTATGTTACATATAATTATATTTTTTGTTCGTAAGTATATGCCTTGGAGCAAGACCTAAAATTTTTAATCATATAGATACAGTTTTTGTCCATAGTTATGCGTCAAATTTGTTGACATTCTAAGATTTGAAGGGTAGAGAATGAAAGTTCTTAGCTTTTCTAAAAAGTAAAGAAAGAAATTTATTGGTGATAAAAATACTCGGTTAGATAGATAGCATTGATGTTTAAGTTGGTTGTGCAACTTCACCGTTTACGTATAATTCTTAGAGGTAAAAATTAAAGTAATACACTGAGGGTGATAAGATAAGATAATGAATGTGTCAGTCGACGTAGACTTTCATAGACGACTTACTTTTACCATAAAACCATAGACTTGCAAACAAAAAGGACATGTGGATAGACCTTCGTATTGATTAACATGAAGGAGGGTTGTGGACTTTCATCTTCATGGATCTAAATTTCTTGATGGAAGCTAGCTTCAATGAAGTTGCTTTCTAATTGATTAACATGAAGGAGGCTTGTGGACTTTCATCTTCATGGATCTAAATTTCTTGATGGAAGCTAGCTTCAATGAAGTTGCTTTCTAATGTGTAAGTATATTAAATTCAATTATGTATTTGTTTTTTGTTTATTCAAATTCAGTAATGTATTTCAACTGTGTGCTCAAGGTGATGGGGATATCTTATTGCTTTCGTCTTCAAGGGGATCCTAATTTCTCGTCGGAAGCTTCAATGAAGTTGCCTCTTAACATGTAGGTACACCAAATATTTCTTAATCAAAATCGACGTAACCAATTAGTGGAGTGATGAGAAGGGGCACTAAATTTTCAAGTTTACTATAGCAAATGAAACCGCACCAATTCTAATTTTTTCGTATGTACGTGGCATCCCCTTTAATATGAAAATGATAATTTAATATATTAAAATATCTAGAGTCATCTAACAAAGTGAATCATATGAGTTTAGTTAAATTAATATTTATTAATTTAAAATTTTTAATTTAGAATTAAGGTTAGAAATTTAATCTCTTGAAATGTATAAAAAAAAAATCTAACAAAATCATCTCATCAAAATTTAACTTTATTAGAGGAAGAAAATGAAGAAAATGCTACATACATTGTTTGTAAGTATAATATTTTGCATAATCTAATGTGATATTTTATAATTAATTCTTTTTATTTAGAATCACAAATAGTGATATTGTAAAAGTCATTCTCTTTATTTAGTGGATTTAATCTAATTTCCAAAATACATTGTCCTCACAATTAAGATTATATAATTCTTAACATTTAATAAGGGTTGAAATATTTCCATAAAAAAACAATGGTTGAAATACCATTTTATTCCATCATTTTTTATGCATTAAAATTATTTTAACAAGTGCATTAGTCACTCTAAATAATATAATGATAAGTAGAGTGTTGATTAATGAGGATTATTAATTAACTAAATTTCAAAAATAATTGGATATTAATTGATACACTATCCTGATCAACACATTGTATAATATATTAATAAAAAATTATTATTTTTCACTTTAAAATTAAAGGCAAACAAATTTAAAAATATAAACATATATATAAAATATAAAAATTGATTGAATCAACTTTACTTATATAATATTTTAATAATTAAACCGAACTAATATTAAAAAAATGTATTAAATCAAAGAACATATTAATTATTTTCCAAAATAATTACTCTTAGATTTATTTGAATAATTAAAGAAAATATAATTAAAAATAACGAAAAGAAAATAACAATTACCAAGGACGCATAAGCTGACTTGGATTTCCTTGGACGACTTGGTTTCACTGAGGAACCATAGACCTTTTACAAACGAAATGGACAAGTTGATGGACCTTCTTATTGATTACCATAAAGCAAATATGTGGACTTTCATCTTCATGGATCTAAATTTCTCAATGGAAGCTTCATTGAAGTTGCTTCCTAATGTGTAAATATACCAAATTCAATAATGTATTTCAAATGTGCATCAAGGGTGACAGGGTGATGGGTGAGATCGAACGCGTCATGTAACTTAGATTTATTAATTTCCAAGGACACGTGCTTTCATTGTTGGAGTAATGGACCTTCTTACTATTTCATTTTCTTGGATCCAAATTTCTCTATGGAAGCTTCAAAGAAGTTGCCTCCTAACGTGTATCCCAAATATTTCTCATTCAAATGGAGGTAACCAATTAATGGATAGTGAGAAAAGGAGCACCAAATTTTCAAGTTTTCTACTGTGCATCTGTATGTAGGTGTTATCCTCTCTAATAAGACAATCACAATTTAGTAAATTAAGTTATCTCATCATCTAATAAAGTCACCAATATGAGTTTTGTTAAATTAGTATCTATTAATATAAAAATTTTGATTTAGATGAATTAAGCTAAGGAGTTTAAACTTTTGAAATATACTAAAAGAAATCTAACAATGCCACCTTATTAGTTTAACTTTAATGGAGAAGGTAAATAATCTTGAAGATGCAGCTATACATGTAGAATGTATGAACCAATTAAATCAAATATACTTATATTGTATTTTAATAATTGAACCATGTGAGTGTTAGTAGGTGCATTGAACCGGAAGGTATATAAATAATTTTCCTCCCAAAATGCATTGCCCTCACAATTAAGATATAATTCTTAACATTTGATAAAGGCTCAAATTCCTTCTTATTTCATCAACTTTTTACGCTTATATTAAAACCTTATCCTCTTCTTTACCCTCTCAATCTCTCTCTAATTTCTTTCAATTTCCCAACAACAAAACAGTCCGGCAAAAATCCATAGCTAGATTATTCAACTAGTTCAGTGACAGCCTCATTACATGAAATTAAAATATAAAATTCAATGGTACTTTACTTGCAATTTCAATTTGGTTCCACTTTCAAGCTTACAATTAATCATTTTTAGAGGTTTGACTAAAACAATTAAGGAAACACTAATCCTTCAACTATAGAATTTGAGAATCCAAAATTTCTCTTGAGAACCCAAATTGGGTTCCTCTTGAGAACGTTGTCAATCCACTCTCCATT